GCTGTGGCTCCAAGATCTTCAACAGCTGATACTCTGAAGGAAGATAGTTACCCAAAGTTTAAGAATTCCTGGTTTGTTTCACATTTAATTTTGGACTTGAGTCATTCCACTATCTTCCTTCTATCCTTATTTTGGACTGGTTAATGTTTAATACTTTCGATTACTAGGTATTGTCATGACAACATAGTAACCTGCTCTCGCGATGGTAGTGCAATTATATGGACTCCAAGGTCACGAAAGTTCCATGTAAGTGTTTCGTCAATCAACCGGAGAATGCATTGGTGCTTCGCAAGTTCATGGCAGCAAATTTCCGATTCTTTCATCATTTTCCACAAACTCCTCAATGTCATATTTCCAGGGGAAATCTGGACGCTGGATTAAAGGATATCATCTGAAGGTTCCACCTCCTCCACTTCCTCCACAACCTCCTAGAGGAGGCCCACGTCAAAGGTTTCTTCCAACACCCCGGGGTGTCAATATGATTATATGGAGCTTGGATAATCGTTTTGTACTTGCCGCTATCATGGGTAAATATCATCAGAGGAAATGTTATGATGCATAGATTATCATTTAATGAATTTTCCACGGTCTCACTGTGTTCCAATTGTGGATAGTAAAATACATAAGACTTAAATGGCCACCTGTTAGCATTACGTAAACTTACTACTGTCGGTGTTTATTCAGATTGCAGGATTTGTGTTTGGAATGCTGCCGATGGTAGCTTAGTGCATTGTTTAACAGGTCACAGTGAATCGGTAACAATCACTTAAATTTCTACTCCTTATCTTAAGATCTTAGTTGGGGCGGTTGTATGCTTCATTGTATTTGTCATTTGATGTCGACCTTCTCCGGAATGTCTTTCATATTCCATTTATCTTCAAGTTTTGTTGTTCACTCCCAATTTGCTTTGGGAAACACTAATATTTATGTATATGATCTGCTGATGGTAGTCCTATGTCTTGGATGTCCATCCTTTCAATCCTCGGATTGCTATGAGCGCTGGCTATGATGGGAAGACAATCATCTGGGATGTGAGTTTCATTTTTTTTTTATAGGAATAGTCCTTAATCTTATCAATAGCATCACTTACCTCCTTCGGTTTTTTCTTTTAGATATGGGAGGGTATACCAATCAAAGTATACGAAATCGGGCGATTTAAGTTGGTTGATGGAAAGTTTTCACAGTAAGTAACCAATAAAATGTCTAGGATAAGATCGTCTATATTCTCTGTTTTGTTTCTGAGGTTTGCAAATGAATCCAGTAAAACATGCATATGGCAGTCGTATAACGCATATCCAGTTGGGTATACAATATTCGTATTTCTTTCAGCAAAGACATCTGCTTCTGAAGCATTTGTTTAGTCACATGAAAGTTATGGAATCAACTACTTACGATACTTTTTATCCTTGGCACTGTGTAGAGATGGGACATCTATTGTGCTTTCAGATGAAGTTGGCCAGATATATTTTCTAAACACGGGACAAGGAGAGTCTCAAAAGGATGCAAAATACGACCAGGTATGGTAGATTTTGCACCACGGATGCATGATCATTTTGTAATATATGGCTTAGTTTCTAGTGATCCTCTATTACTCTCTCTGATCCTTTGTCTTGTTTTGTTAAGTTCTTCCTTGGTGATTATCGTCCCCTTATTCGAGATACCAATGGACATGTTCTTGATCAGGTTGGTTTCAAATACTTGTATCTTCTGTTTTCTCTTTAATTCCTGTTGCGTTCTTTTTAATAGACATCACTGTACTATGCACACTTTCATGCATTTTTCTCTATGTTGTCAAAATTAGACGGCCGAGATGTATGAGTGACATCCTTGCCATTGCTTGACTATTAAATTTATTGCTTTATCATTTTCATGGTGCAGGAGACTCAGCTTCTTCCCCATAGAAGGAACCTTCAGGATCTTCTTTGTGATTCAAGTTAGTTTTCAAAAGCTTATCTTCATGTCAGTTATCCAATATGTTGGTTAATCATGAAACATATTCCTGATGTTTTGTTCTAATTTTCCAGGCATGATTCCGTATCCAGAACCTGACCAGACAATGTTTCAGCAACGCAGACTTGGTGCATTAGGAGTTGAATGGCATCCTTCCTCGATAAAGTTTTCTGTTGGCCCTGATTTTAGTTTAGGTCAAGATTATATTATGCCTCCTTTGGCAGATCTGGATAGATTGATCGAGCCATTGCCTGAGTTTATAGATGCTATGTACTGGGAACGAGAACATGAAGTTCTGAGTGACGACAATGATTCAGAGTATAATGCTGAAGTTTCCTCTGATGGAGCAAGGGCAAGCCCATGTTCCAACTCTTCAAATGAACTTGAGTGCAGTTCCGAGGACAGTGACGTTGAAAATATTCACGAAAGTAGCTATCATCGGAAAAGAAGAAGAAAAAATCCGAGAGTAGGTTTTGTTCAACTCATGCGCTTTTGTTTGTCGTTAGCTATTGACTAACTCCCGTTTTCTCAGGCTGAGGTCGCTACTTTATCTGGAAGGCGTGATAAGAGGATTTTGGATGAGAATGATAACTCGAAATTTGGAAATAAGAGAAACACGAACCGGAGAATTGGTGTGAAGGCTTCAAAAAGAAAATATTCTGATGTCAAGGCATCACGACCGCAAAGAGCAGCGGCGCAAAATGCACGATCCTTGCTTTCAAAAATTTCTGGAAGCTCTTCAGATGAAGTTGATGATGATTATGATTCATCCAACAGTGAATCTGATAGAAGCATACCCTCTCTGCAACAGTTGGAAAAACCATCTCAGATACTAGAATCACTTCCAAATGACAAACAGAAGAAAAGATTGATTGTAAAGATCTCTGTTAAGAAGCCAACAGAGTCTGTGGAGAGCAAGAGAGATGTAATGAATCAAGTTGACTTGGAGCAACTTTCCTCTAAATCTATGGAGGAGAATCACAGAGTGAATGATATATACTCCAGAGAACCCGGGTCAAGTTCGGTAGATGCAAAAGGTGCCTCATGGTGTCAGGATATGCCCCATTCTATGAATAGGCCACAGAGGGAAATGGCCGAGGATCAGTTGATAAAATCTTCAGATCAGGACCAGAATATGTGCCCTGCATCTGAGATGATTGAAGAAGCCCAAACATTTAATGGGTATGGGAATTCTGATTATGATTACCATTATATTTGTTTTCATATTAAATTTCCACAATATCTAATTCTTTGTATTATCTTGCAGGGATGAAGGTGTGTCAAGAGTTGAACCATTGTCGGGTCAGTTAAGACATTGTGATGTAGATACTTCCATGGAAGCTGATGAGATTCTTCCAAAGAAAGTTCGACGACTGAGGTTAAAACTTCGGGCTCCCAGCAGTCCTCTAAAGCTAGAGCCTGATGAGGTAGCAGATGATTTGTCAGATGGTGGAAATGTTTTTGCGTCCATAGCTCCCTCTTCCATGAATCCGATTATGGATTCTGAACCTGTGATAGATAATGTGAGAGGTTCTCCTGCACATGACTTTGAGTTTGGAGAAGCTACAGCTGATGTGATACGTAGGAAAAGATCCATGAGATTGAAGGCCACTTCAAGTGAATCTAGTGCAAGAAATAGCGTACAACGTGTGAGGCTGGGCTCTGGATCTGGAGATAAAGTAAAGAAACAAGGAATTCCTTTCACAAGCGTGTATGATGGTGCATCACTTGAAGAATGGCCTTCTACTTCAAAAGCTGGGTCCCGGTCAAGATCCGCTAGCGCCAGCAAACAAAGTCTCCATACAGGGATTAGCTTGAATAATGTTGCAAGAAAAATCTCATGGTTAATGTTGTCAGAACATGAGGAAGGTTGCCGTTATATACCTCAGCTAGGAGATGAAGTTGTTTACTTCAAGCAGGTAGGTCCTTTTAGCTGGTAATTCTGTTCTCTGGTCACTACAATTTTGCTAGATCTGGAATGAATAAGGTTTCTTTGGTTGTCGTTTTCAGGGTCATCAAGAGTTCCTTGCAACTAGAGAATTAAATGACAGGGGCGGTAGAGATTCAAGGTACCTTCCTCGAAACCTAGGAGCGGTAGAGATATGCAAAGTCGAGAAACTCAGCTATGATACATATCCTGGTTCTGGCGAGAGCTGCTGCAAAATGACCCTCAGGGTTCTGGATTCTTCTTCACATGGCACCCGCAAAGAGTTCCAACTAACACTTCCTGATCTCGTTAATTTCCCTGATTTTATTGTGGAGAAGACTCGATACGATGCTGCAACCAAAACAAACTGGGAGATCGGTGATGAATGCCGTGTGTGGTGGAGAAATGAATCCGGTGAAGGCGGTGCTTGGTGGGAAGGTAGGATTGAGTCTTCGCAAGTTAAATCCACCGACTTCCCAGATAGTCCATGGGAAAGATACAGAGTTGTTTATGAAACTGGGGACACAAATCTTCACAGCCCGTGGGAATTCGAGAATCCCCAGTTTCCTTGGGAAAATTCTACTATCGATGAAAAGACGAGAGATAAACTACTTTCTTTATTTGCTGGACTAGTGAAGTCAATCAGCAAGCATCAGGTTTGCCTGCTCTCCCAAAAACTTCCAGTTCTCATCTTTCTGTTATCCTCGGCTTGCCTCTTAACCTTTATTTGCTTTTGTTGTACATTCTTCAGGATAGTTATGGAATCCAAAAGCTAAACGAAGCTGCTCAAAAAATGGATTTCTGCAATAGGTACTTGGCAACACCTTGTTCTCTGCAATTAATTCTTTCAAAATCTTCCTAGTCCCATAAACTTATGAAACCTGTTGAGTGAAATGCTATTTTTTTGGTAATTCATACGATCGAGCCTGTTGATATACTTATGTGGTGGTATATGATTCACGTATTTTTTTTGTGACTCCGCTTCCATACTTGAAATTCGCAGGTTTCCGGTTCCTTTATACCCTGAGCTGATACACCAGAGAGTAGAGAATCAGTACTACAGAAGTATAGGATCGTTTAAACACGATGTGGATGCAATGCTCTCAAACGCTGAATCTTATTTCGTTAAAAACGCACAGATGCTTTCTAAAATCAAGCGACTCCGAGATAAATTCACAAAAACCTTAAGAAAGGTTTCTTCTTTCTGAGATGGTATGTTTCTTCTTTTGATCCTTACTGATTCTTTATCTTGTAAACTCCTTAGGCTGCGTCAAAAATTATATATAGCGAAAGAAAATTTAAAGGTTTCACTCTAGAAAAAAAAAAAAAAATCGGCTTTGTTTGTAGTCACCTTGACACAGGTTAATGTATAGATCGGATTGGTTTAGTTCCACAAGACTAACATGTCTGTAACACAAAATTTACTCTCTTTGTTACAAGAAAGAAAGATATCACGAGCCTGTTTTTATTCTGATGCCATCACAAGACAAGTGGAACATTTTTGTTTAGAAAGTAATATAAAAATACTATTTACACACTAATGAGCCCATATTAACCACCTCCTCCTCCTTAGTAGTACAATTCTCCACCGCCACCACCGGTGACTCGGAAGTAGTTGCGATGAAAACGTACGCACACACACGATTTATAGTTGCAATGGCCAATACATAAACAATGAAGTGTATGAAAGAAATATAGAAAAGAATTGGCTCGTGGTTCAGGGAATTACATGAGTTCAACAATGCAGCCAATAGCAATTTTTCTTCTTGACATTACATTACCATTAGAGTCGCGTACCTGATCGATCTTATAATCAATGGAGTAGGTGTGTCTTCTGTGGTGGGCACCTAAATTCATTTAATTCTATGCATATATGTATTACAAGAAGATAATAAAATGCCGTCAAGTTGGTTTAACTGCATGTGCCGGTCATTGAATACCATGGTCCGAACAACATATAATTTAGAGATAATTACTAAAACAAACCTCGAACAATCTTAAGAGAAAAGAGAAAACAAACCTCA